GAAAATATTAATGGTAAAAAGATATAAAAATTTGCATAAATACTAAATTCTATTTGGATAATTCATTAAAAAGAGTGCAACCATAGTAGTAAAAAGATCTTTTTGCGATCTCGGTCCTCACAGCAGGTGGATGTAAAAAATTGCTTTGTCTAGTAGCACGCGCATGGATTGCACTATTACGCTTAAAATACTCTTTAAAGTATTGGGGACAGTGACCTGACAGGCATTTCTTTACAAGTTTAAAAACCGATTTGCGTCTGCGCTCCTCTAACGTGGGCCACTTCAAAAAGTCAATCGCTGGACTGCTGCGCTCAGATCTTACAACTATTCTAGCAGCACGGTTTTGGAGGGCCTGCAGACTATGTTTGTGACCCTCCCCACAGCAGCCCCACACGCTTACACAATATTCTAAAATTGGCCTAATAAGACTGCAATACACTACATTTGCGCTTTCTGTAGTAAGGTTTCTACGAAGTCTACTGAGCATTCCTACACGTTTTCCTGCCTTCGAAATAAGGTGCTTTATTTGTCATGAATAGTCATGCGACTGATGTCGCATATCTAATACTAAGCTTTTGCTAGGTTTTTAATCACACATTGCATCAGGTTACAGACATACCATTAAACAGACCTGTCTTCTTCCATGTGGGATCAAAATTTTATACAATTTACAATTGCCCATCGCATAATTACGTCACACCAAAACATTCTATTGTTAAACACGCTAAGGATTATGGTCATCAGAGGGGATCAGAGTGACTGCATATCAAATAAAATGTAGATGAGCTATCCTTGATAAATGATGTACATCAAAACTCGATACACTAAAGTTCTACTTTCGGAAAGAATGTTAATATGTCGGAATTTTAAGTCTTTCAGAGCGTCTTTCCACAATATAACCAGACTTTGACGTCATTATGCCATAGAGCAATTGTAGCATATTGCCCATGTTACAGATGTTCATTACAAGTCTGTATGATGTAAATATATATTTACTATATTTCCAGACATTCAGCTTTTTACTATAATAATTATACTATTTAGGGAATGGAGTTCTAGGCTCGGATCTTTATCACCTGATGTACTATAAGCTTTCCCCTCTTTAAACATTATATTCACATGCACTGCACTACTGTAGGTAATTAAAACAATAGAACTGTTTACTAGAGGTTTGTAGAGTGCACGCCACATAAGCATGAAACAATTCTTAAGTAATTAGCGCCTAATTAACAATTAGACCTCGAGGTCGAGTGGACTACGAGCTAATAGCCCATGAGGCCGAGTCCGCAAGGCCGAATGGGCTATTAGCTCGTAGTCCACGAGTCCGAGAGGTCTAATTGTTTTAGTATAAACATACTAATCGGTCAAATAATGAAAACAAATTGAAATATCCTTAAAATAATTTATAAATGAGATGCCGCCATTTTGATTTTCCCGCGAGTGGTCTATCACAAATTAGACCATTAGTAGAGTAGCCAATCACAGCGCAGTATGAGTGATAGACCATTAGAATGTTTATACTAATAAGATTTAGTTATCAACTAACTAAGAATTTAATGAGGCATAAACAAAGACAAGTTTCCTTTCTGGCATTGTGTTCATGCCCTAGTGAATTCTTAGTTAGTTGATAACTAAATCTTATTAAATGTTGATAGTTAAGAATTGTTTCATGCTTTTTTGGCGTGCACTCTAGTATGTAATTTTGACTATTTTATTCTTACTGGTTTCAACGATTATTATATGAACTCAAAAACTAGTGGTTTAAATAATAATGAATAATTCTTATAACTTTTGGATTAAGTTACAGTTCAAATATTTAATATTGTTTGAAGTTCCATCGCTAAATGAAATAAATTGGTTATCATGGTCATCATTAATAGGTTACTGTTTCTTTGTTGTTGTTGTTGTTGTTGTTGTTTTGTGGGTGATTAAGTTAATTAGGTATTTTAACCTGCCAGCTTTTACATTGCACGTGCTTTTCAAGAACAGTTTTGATTGTTTCAATCGTCAGCCTACTTTTTGCGTTCTACAAGCGTTGACATGATAAGCGAGATGAGCAAACCTTAATCAAGCGACGCCGATAAATACTGGATATTACATGGTCTCGAGGAGATAAGCATTTTATATTCGAGTGTTGATAAGATTTCCTGACCTCCCCTCTCTTTGTCCGTGTACTTACAGACCATGATTAGATTGATATATTTTCCATAAGCAGTAGGTTAGTGGGCTGTCTAGAGGTGGTAAGCAATAAGTTTGCAATTGTTCTATACTCAGTCTTTACACAGCCAACCTACTTTGTCTTGACTTTATTTAGTAGGTATGCCTGTGGCAATAGACAGTTCCTCTTTGCATCACTTTGAGAGGAAGAGTTGTTCCGGTGCTGTTCCCAATATGTCGTTACCAATTTTACTTAATACATCAGAATCTCTAAAACGCCAAAGCTTGCAATTCCAAGCAATTCCAAACTTTGCTGAAAATATTCCCGTCCGCGAGATTGAGAGGAATTAAACTGTAAAATAGGCTTAGTCGAAAGTGAGTGATATTGTGCCAAACACTTTGCCTTTCGGTAATCGTCATGTATATTTTCCTTCTACTCCAAGTTCACTCGGTCCCTCTTGCTGGGACTCCTAATTAGTCTTATAATTTTTGTGTTTGTTAATCATTAATGAAGTATTGATTAGAAATTGTTGTCGTCTATTGCTTAAAACTTTCCTTGCTACTGGATGCTGAAGTTATATTACCTTTTTAATGATATTGTCCATGTCGTTTGGTTAGAGTTTAAATGCCTTTGACAACGTTTTCGGACTTTAAATGTCAAAAGAGT